CAAAAGGATTTGTTTTCCGCTAGGATCCGCGGTATTTGGTGAAGATGTGTCTCTTAAGGTTTTGCTCCAAGCATTGTGTGTGTAACGTCTACGCGTTTCGGGATCCGTTTCAGCTGCGGCGTCTCAGTATACCGCGAGCTGTAGCTTGCCATATACTGAGCCTAGGGTGATGGGAGGACGCTAGTTTGTGTCCTCACGTTACCCTAAGGAGAACTATGGGGAAAAGCCCTGACCCCATAGTTCTCCTTTAAGAAACTGGTACAAAGAGAGATCAGGTTGTCACTGCCAATAATACTTTCTGAGTCACTGACCAAGTATACAGAAAGTACAATCAGCACCCCTTATTTACATGCATGTTCTGGGCCAATAACTGAGATATGAAGTTATTATTTTATCATTAAATCAAGACAGATAAGTCAGCAGTGGACGTCAACATACTGCCCATAGTATAGGCTTCCTCTAACCCAACCCAAGATGTGAATTGTTGAAGCAATATGCAGCTATACAATATACTAACATAAAATACTAAGATCTCATATAAGCTTGAACATGTAAGGTCATTTCAAATGTCATATTTCTTTTTTTATTGCTGCAATTTGTATTAAATGACTACCCGGTGATCCTGCCATGAAGGTCCTTGTTCACATGCTTACAGGTTATAGGGTGACAACACTCCTTCCCCGTCTACCAATTCTATTCTTTCGTTGTCACCCTGTCTATAAGCAGCTGTGGCAATGTACATTACACACACATGGTCCAATGTAACCCTTGTTGCACTCACAGACGTAGCAGGGAAGAAGCGTTTTCAGTATAGCTTTTAGCTCCTGCAGTTCCAGCCCACTCTCCAAGGCTAGTGTCATCGCTGAGGATCTGATCTAGCAGTTGTCAGCCTATGACAAACTCTGCCCTGCTTCCTGATGTAACCAAACAGCATCCTTCATTACTGAGAAGCACCTCGGGCAGGAGAGTGCATACACCTTCTGCGTCCTTGGTACTATGGCGATAGAATATGTCACCAGCACACCGGAGTAAAGTGGCCAAAAATATCTTTATTGACAGATCTACATCATGTCGCAAAGAAGACAACGTTTCGGTCCACTCTGTGTCCCTTCATCGGGCTCAATCTATTGGACTGGCTACTCTGACAACACGTTACTGGTCATGTCTTTGTATCCCTTTGTTGTATTAGGCCCATGTCACGGTGGTGATTTTGTAGCAGTGACGTGTAGCAGCTACATTCTTTTCTCACTCTTCTTTGCTTTTTTGTTGCTAGAAAGGAAAAATGAATTGCATTCCGGGACAGGTCTGTGTTGCTGAAATTCCAAGCGATGTGTATCTCCATTGCTGACTTTTTGCAGTGTTTGGAGCTAACAATCAACAGCTTTAGTAGTTGCTCATGTCATTCAGTGTAGCTGCTGATGACCGTGGCACACCAGGGAGTTTGAAGCTGCATAGGTGAGCAGTGTAGCCGGCTACATGGAAATAAGCAGAGAGATTGGTATCAGCCACATATCGTCGCTACAAAATGGCCCGTGTCACATGACCCTTAGTTTACCGATCAATTATATTTTCAATTTACATAGTTACATAGTTACATAGTATTTGAGGTTGAATAAAGACATATGTCCATCAAGTCCAACCCATTGTGTGTGTGTGTGGGTGTAAAGATCCTCGCGTCATCTCGTTATTAGGAGTACTTGTACCCCTGTATATTACCGTTTAGTCCACAGCGCCCTCTAGTTCCGTCCGTGAACCAATAATTTCCATGACTTATTGGATACTGGTTTGTTACAATGCATCTGATTCAGAGGCAGATTATTACAGGTCTCTATATAAGCAGTATTATGTCTCCACCTAGTGGCCAGAATATATTATTATCCTCGTATCTGACAGACTTCCAAGTTTTCATTTTAAGTATCATTTATGCTCTGACCGTGTAACGTGTTTTTCATTTGATCAGTTCCATATGTTTTTTAATGTTACCACTATATCAGTTTTAAAGCACAAAACCACATCACCACATCTTTTCCAGGTTTGGGATCATCGACCATCTTCTTTGAAAAGATGGAATAACAAGAATGCATAGAAGTTTGGACCGTGCCACATCCTAATATCAATGGATAGGAAAGGACAGAAAATACTATATATGTTGGTGATTTTAACCTTGCTATACCCTGTTTCCCCGAAAATAAGACCTACCCCAAAAATAAGACCTAGTACTTTTTTTGGGAATTGCTAAAATAAAAGACCTACCCCGAAAATAAGACCTAGTTGGGACCATTCCCAGGGCCGGTGGTGGCATAAGGGGGAACTTGAAGAGTCGCGGTGCCAACAAAGCCAGCGCTAGAAGAAGCGAGGCGGCACCGGAGCGAGCAGAGCCGCATAAGCCGATGCTTCCTCTAGCGCCGGCTCCTGTCACAGGCGGAGTGATACCAAAGGCGCCTTTGAGGAATCAATAGTGAAAGCGCGCTTCGCTCATTCTGGCCAGCGATTGGTTACCAAATTGCTCTTGGAAAGGTACGGCACCCCAGATTGCCCTGACCACCATATTTGTTTACATGAATAAGTGTGGATTGTTGTACATTAAAAAAAAAAGACCTACCCCGAAAATAAGACCTAGTGTATTTTTTTGAGCCCCAAAAAATATAAGACAGTGTCTTATTTTCGGGGAAACATGGTATATATGTAACAAACAATGTACACATTAAATCTATTTTTATATACAAATTGAAGTGGTCATGGTGGTGCCTAAAAAGTCAGTATTTTCTGTTCTTTCTTATCCTTTGAAAAGATGGAACTCCTGCCCATGCCGAGAATCTTTACTTAGCTGCACATGCAGTTTAGTGTACATTCCAAAGAAGTTTATGAACAGGCAGAGTTGGCTCTGCCTCTAGATAGGCGGAGCCAGCTGTCACTCACGCAGCTGGGTGGATCCAGATAGTATTGTCGGGATCCGCTCAGGCTGTGTCGTCTCAGCTACAGCTCGCGGTATACTGAGCTTAGGGTGAGGGAAGGACGCTAGTTTGTGTTCTCCTGTGACCCTTAGGAGAACTATGGGGAAAAACCCTGACCCCATAGTTCTCCTTTAATGTCACTGCAATGCCGACCTTAGTACCACCATACATAGCTTGGTATCTTGGTATCAGAAAAAAATAGGCTTAAAAGGGGGCCCGTGACCCCTAAAATGCATTGCCATAGTAAAAAAGACCTGAGGTGCTTCTCAGTAACAAAGGACGCCACTCAGTTACAAAAGGAAGCAGGTTCTTTAGTCTTTGCCTGAAGCTGAGACGAGAAGATCAGATCCTCATCCCTGCCGCTAGCCACGCAGAGCGAACTCAACATGCTGGACCTTCAGTCTATACTGTAAGAGCTGCTTCCCTGCTGCCTTTGCAAGTGCAATATCAATTTTTATTATAATAAATGTGTCATTTTTATTACATGAGGTCTGTGAGCCCTCGCTCTGTTCTTGTTGTTGTTACAGATCTTCCTCTGCTATTAGGTACTGCAAGACTGACTGCCATTCTTTTCCTTGGACTGATGTAAACTCTTAAAGTGACATTAAATTCAGGAGGTAAATCTTAAAAATGCATCCAGGTACCTTAACTATTAACAAAAATGTATCTTATTTGTGTATCACTCGGCTGTAGATCCTCAAACCATCTCTGAATTGGTGCAGACACTGCCCTTCCTTCTGGGGGGTGGCTACTTTTCTTCCCCATGGTCTCTGTGTGTGTTGTAAAGTGGCCACCGCTCCAAGCTCATTAATGGACTACAATCTCACATTTAGTTTACTCATTTGTATTGACATTGTAGTCCATCACAGGAGCGAGCTTGGAGCGGTGACTACTTTACAACACACACAGGGACCATGGGGAACAAAAGTAGCCACCCTCCAGAAGGAAGGACAGTGTCAGCATGGAGTCAGAGATGATTTGAGGATCTACAGATAAGATACATTTTCATCAATAGTTAAAAGGTATTTGAATGTCATTTTAAGGCCTGTTCACACCACTTACAGCGTTCCAGTGCGGCTAGCTGTTGGAACGCACTGTACTAAACTCTCCCCTGCGTCCTGGGGTGTGGCTGTGCATTGAAGTCAATAGGCCCCCGCAGCCACCCCCCCTGCCAGCACATGTGGTACGTTCCGGTCCAGTGCAATTGCAAAAAATAGTGCATGCATGTATTTTATGCCATCGTACCAGACCAGAATGCAGGCATTGTTGTGCCACGTGTTCTGGTGCTGGCGGGGGGCGTGGCTGCGGGGGCCTATTGACTTCAATGCCCCCCTCCTGCCCCAGAACGCAGGGGGGAGTTTATAAGTATGCGATACAGTGCATTCCAGCAGCTAACCACGCTGGGATGCACTGTAAGTGGTGTGAACAAGCCCTTACGGTTTAACTGTTTAGTGTCACTTTAAGCTGGCCGTACATCAGTCAAATTTGTGTCCTCGGGGCTATGCAACATGTTGTGAACTGGTCCAATGTGATAGGCCTGAGAAATGCAGCCACTACCGGAGCACATGCATGTGGACAGGAAGTGGCTGTAAGGAGGCTGCAGGAGGTCAGCACTGCTGATAAGCTTTAAAGGACGAAAAAATGGTGAAAACAGTATTTTATTTAAAAACAAATGTAATCTTTTTATGATACACAGTGCTGAGCAAACTACGTCCTTCTGTCAGGGTCTACAGGAGGGATGTATAATACTGTTCCAATGAATCACTGACATGTAAACAAGTCTCATACAGCTATTCTGCATTTGCTCTCCGGCCAGTTGCTGCTTTGGGAACCATCCTTTGGTTCAAGTAACAATTGCAAGTTATCGTGTTTGTTTTTCTTGGTCCATAAATGGCATTTTTGGGGTTTGTAGAAAAGGTGGTGTGCAATGTTTGTGTCTTTGGTCGGCAGTATGACACTCAAAGGACTGGAAGTGATAAGGCGCAGAGTTCAGAAGAAAATCCCCCTTCCATGAATTCCATCATTAATCACATGGTGTCCTGGAAAAGCTCGCCATCAAGTCACCAACGTGCTACATTGGAAGGGCTTCTATGCAGTGTGACAGCTGCTACATGAATTCCTCACTTACACTCAGGTAGCTGCCCTCAGTCTTCAGATCCTACATCACATTTATCATGAAGGAAATTCTGTTTGTTCACTAATAGCGCCAACACCTTTCATGGTTCACCTCCTTTCATCTCTGGAATACTAAGATATCTGGCCACTCATACCGAGGCACCTGAAAATCAGAAACATGAGACATATTAGCACGTATACATACTGCCATAGAGGAAATGAAGCTAGCCAACCGTGAAGGAACCCGATTGTTGGCAAAACAGAGACACAACTAAAAGCCGCAGAGCCCTGTGCAAAGCTCAACAAGAACCCTCTTACACCTTAACAAAACTTCATGTGGAACAGAGTGTAATGTTTTTTTCTTTCAAAGCTCAAAGCTGGCATTTACATTAAATACATTCAAATTAGCATAGAACTCCAGATCTAATTATATATATATACAGTATATATACAGGTGAAACCCGAATAATTAGAATATCGTGCAAAGTTCATTTATTTCACTAATGCAACTTAAAGGTGAAACTAATATATGAGATAGACTCATTACATGCAAAGCAAGATAATTCAAGCCGTGATTTGTCATAATTGTGATGATTATGGCTTACAGCTCATGAAAGCCCCAAGAACCCCAAATCCACAACCTCAAAAAAGTAGATTATTACATGCAATCAATAAAACAAGGATTGTACATAGAACAATATCGGACCTCTGAAAAGTACAAGCATGCATATGTACTCAGTACTTGGTTTGGGCCCCTTTTGCAGCACTTACTGCAATTACTTTTGCACGATATTCTAATTATTCGAGTTTCACCTTTATATATATATATACACACATACATACATACACACACACATTCAGTATATACTTACATTGTGCCAACCTGGACCAATGAAAATATATATATATAGAGCTGGAGTTCTGCTTTAATTACTAACCTGTTTCTTCACCTACATTGGGAGTCTTTTATTCCCTTTTCTTGTCAGCTAACAGCACATGCACAGCCTTAAAGATGAAAACTGGGCACAAAGAAAATTCAATAGCCACAGAAGATATAAATCTACTTTGTGTGCACCCATCACCTTTCCAAACCCAGATATAACCATAGAAATGTAGTGGTGACATCATCACTGTGTTGTACATGACCTGTGCAGAGAGCTGAGCTGTGGGATGGGCCCGGCAGGCTCCACACGCTACAAGCTGTCAACAGAAAATACAAGACCAGTAACAGCCTGCACATGGAGAGAGTACCAGTGACTGGTCTTTATAGTACAGAGCTCCTGCACAGCAGGGACGTGCGATCAGGGGAGGCGGATGAGGCGGAGCCTCACCTAGAATTATGGAGGAAAAAGCTGTCAGCTTCATGAACGAAGCTGACAGCTTTTTCTCCATTCAGATCGGCATCTAACAGGTTACACAGCAGGGAAATCCTCCCCGCTGTGTAACCTGTCATGGAGGAGCGCTGCCTGTTAATTACAGGTGGCGCTGCATCTGGCTTTTGACAAGTAGTGTAACCTAACTATTGAAGCCAGAGCTGTCACAGCCTCTACTCTGTGTTAGAGGCGTGAGCTCTGTGGATGGCTTGGACCAATGGCAAAGCGATTGGTCCAAGCTGTCCAATCAAAAAAGGAAAAAAAAAACCCACTGAGGCCATCAATCTCGATGCCTCAGCAATGACAAGCAAGTGAGGGACAGGGAGGCTCCTCCCTTTCTCCTTTACACCAGCTTGGGGACGGGTTGGGGGTAGGGCTTCGTCCAGTGGGGGACAGGGCTTCGGTCGGCAGGGGCGGAGCTTCGGTCGGCAGGGCAGACGTGTTGGGGGCAAGGCTGGGGAATGCCTCACCCGGAACAAGAGGTACCGCACGTCACTGCTGCACAGAGGCAAAGTTTCACACATGGTCACTGCACAGATCTGGAATGAACACAGAGAGTGCACCAAGAAAGAATACACATGACTCTTGTAATCAGACATCAGTGTTTATCCGGGAGTTTGGCTTTAAAGATAAATATGTGTTTTCCCCATGTAGGGCAAAGAAACAGGTTAGGGCTTCTACAGGCTGAGGAACATGTGACTCACTCCCGTTATTCTCATGTGACAGTGCTGGTGGTTGGTCTAGCCCAGGGGTGGGCAAACTCTGGCCCTCCAACTGTGGTGCAACTACAGGTCCCGTGAGGCATTGCAAGACTCTGACAGCCACAGGCATGACTCTCAACGGCAGATGCATGGGGGGATTTGTAGTTTCATCACAGTTGGGGGGCCGAAGTGTGCCTACCCCTGGTCTAGCTAATCAAGGAGATGGAAGAGAGTCCTTAGCCCTGTGTAAGCTCTTTGTTATATATTGCAGCTCTCCACACACATTTTGGAGGTGCGCCCATTGTGCTGTGGTTCTAAGCAGTATTGGCCAGCACACTGTAATGAGGAGGCAAGGCTGCCTCTAGGTACTGTAGAAATAATACAAGTTTTTACCAAATGATACCCAAGGGTATTACAAGTCCCACCCACCATGGATTTTTGGGATTGTATTTTGTACATACACCTTTCTTTTTAAATGTCTTCTGGCCAGTCACATGATGCACAGGTCCTGCTTAACCGGGACGGGATGGTCCTTGATGATTCACAGACCTCAGAATTGTGCTGTGAGCCCAGGGCAATGTGATAATGACCCCCCACCAGGCATGTCCATGATGCACTGGGCTAACAGGAAGTGGGTTGGAGGATCAGGAAGAGGACCAGCACTGGAACATAGAATGCTGCTTTTTTATTGTTACAACAGTTGTTTTGCATTTTTTATATAACCTTTGTCCCGTCAGCTGTGGGCAGTTTTCGGGAGGCGGTACGTAACGGGAGCTGACAGGCGCCGGGTAGTCAGATCAGTGAGGGGATGGGGATACTCTGGGTGAATGTAGCTGGAGAGTGACACTGAATGCAGGAAGTGATGTAATATACATCACTTCCTGCATTCGGGGACTGAGAGGAGATCAAAAGGGAGTTTGTATACTGAACTCCCTTTGATCTCCTGTCACAGAGCCATGCCGGTCCCGGCCGCATCGGGCACAGCGGATCTCGGGACCGGCAACGGCAGTGACAGCTTCTGATACAAGCGATCGAGCATCTCTCGAGACGCTCGATCGCTTGACTGTAAAGCTCCCGGCCGGCCGTGTAATTACAACGGCCGGCCCGGAAGCTGCTTGTCGGGCTCCACTGTCTGCTCGTCACAGACGAGTGGATTTTCGAGCCCTGTATATAATACATACACACACAGACCTGAGGCATCCCAGATTCCCATCTCTTCTGTCACTTACCTCTTCCAGCTGAGGTGCAGGAAGCAGGGAGCCTGGCAGGTGGTCATGTCACCACCCGTCCAGCTTCCTGATTGGATGGGAAGCCGCAGCCACACTCCCTCGCAGCTTCCCAGGCACCAAGGACTGCAGCTGTTATGTGAGGAATGTGGCAAGTGCTGCTGCGCTCTGTATCACCGAGCCAATCAAATCTTTGTGATCTCTACACCAGCTCAGTGACTTAACACGGTGTCCGCTGTTGTGGTTTCGGTATTGCGCTTGGGGTGATTAGGGTGTGCCCAGGCACACCCTACACGCTTGTCTATGGTCACCGGCCCATAAAATTGATGAGAAATCCAAAACGTTATAGTTGTCAATGGCACAGAAATTGGTGGGAAATCTTCCAGTATTCACAGATATCCCCTCACTTCCTGTTGTGTCTCTGGGGCACAAAGTGAAGTGAATTCTTTCTAGTGGGACACGAACGGCAAAAACACAATAAAAAAACCAACAGGAACTTGTCCATTCTCCACTCTATCTACCCCCCTCTCCTAACCCCAACCCCCCCAAAAGTTTTGGTTATTAATACACTTGCACCCCCATTTGTTTTTCATAAACACAACTTACCGCTTGACTGGGTGACAAATTTGACTTTATATGATAGCACCATGCCCACGGTACACAGGAACGTAGCTATGAATCCAAAGATCTGAAAGATGAAGGACATTACTAATAGACCCGTCCAGCTCCTGTACAACTACAACCCACCTCAGCCACAAATGTAACATCAATTGTTCTATTTACACTGCTTCTTCCTTTTATAATTACACTCCAGGCGACCAGCTAAATCCTATGTATACCAGAGCTAGGATTTGTACTTTTGTCTAGTCTTGAGATTTAGCAGCCCTGCTTGGCAGAAGAGGGGACCTGATCTTTCTCTGATGCAGTTTCACTTTCACGTCTCCTCTCAACTCCCACCTTGTGACTGGACAGTGAAAGGAGAAGAAGCACATTGCTGAGCTCATCTTTCTCTCCTCACCTATCAGCATGCTCCATGTATTGCAGCACATCTGATTGGTGCCCTTGTGCTGCTCCTCGCTCCCCCTTTCTGAGCTATGCTGTACAGTAGACTGCCAAAAGCTGATACTAAGGGCTAGTTCACACCAGCCCCAGTGCTTTCCGGCACGATTCGGGACCGGAACGCACTGGATCGTATCCCGGCCAGCTCACTGTGTTCTGGGGTGGGACGGGTGTGGCGGTGCATTGAAGTCAATGGCAACACAACTACGCTTAATGCCTGCGTTCCCGACCGGTGCAGTCAGAAAAAATAGTGCATGCATAATGCAGTGAGCCGGTCAGGATGGGATCCAGTGCGTTCCAGCACCAAAATCGTGCCGGAACGCACTGGGACTGGTGGAATTCAGCTACTTCCCTTTCATGCTTTACTGATGTATTCGTGATCACAGAGCTGCAATCATTTGTACATTTTACACCTCTCTGGAGTTCAACCTTAAACGGTATGGGGGGAATTCATCAAAACTGGAGCACACAAAATCTGGAGCAGTTGCCCATGGCAACCAATCAGCTTCTTTCTTCAGTTTGTTCAGTTAAGATTTGAAAATGAAAGGTGGATGCTGATTGGTTGCCGTGAACAGCTGCTCCCAATTTTGTCTACTCCAGTTGTGATAAATTCCCCCCTATGTGTTTTTTGGTCAGCTCACCAAGCAAGCCAGATTGTCCAGTAATATGCCACACACAGAAGACATAGAAATGACCTCTGAAAGTGTAACTGAGGCCTGATGTACACGTCATCTATTCCACACCCTCTCCCCACTACTCTCTAAGCTAAACTAAGGTAAAGTGGCTGATGAAGGAAGAGCAGAGGGCCAGCGCTGAACTTTCCTTCACCTGAGGATGGCTGCATTTCATTCAGTTTTTACTGATCGGTTTTACAAGTTTTATAATTAGAAAGATAACCTGTAGAATGCACAAAAGACACAATAAAGGCTAGAAACAAACAAACAAAATAAATATAGCTAAAGTCCAGGGGAAACATACAGATGAATCCAACAATTGAACAAATCCACTGATACCCCTATCCATGCTAAACAGGTGGATGGAGGAATCCCCAGTGCTGGCTATTGTATTCGGCAGCTGCTGCTCCAGTGGCTGCTTAATACCCGAATAACGCCTGCGATAACGATAGAGTAAGGTAGGGTTAAAACCACTGCCAGCATATTCCACGCATTCCATGTCCTGTTGGGGATAATTGGCTTAACTTCCTGTACCAGAGATGCAACAGGAAGGGAGAGGAGATCTCTGGAAAGTCAGGGGAATTCCCTCCTTATACAGCTGTTGCTGAAACAGGCTTCCCCATGGATTTGGGCTCTTGTCCCACATTATGAATGTATTTATAGATATAGATGCAGATGTGCCATCCAAGATATGGTGAAATAACATTTAGCCACCGGGTTATGGTATTACACAGTCCGCATGCCTGGAATTGTTTAACCAGTTCTGCTTCATCAGCTTCTTTTCTCTGGCTATAGCAGCCAGATGACTGACAGGTGAATGCGGAAGTGATGTAATACACATCACTTCTGCATTCACAGCCCGGAGGGAGACAGCAAGGAGCTGATCTCTCGTCCTCTTCCTCCTGACGCCCTCCGAGCCGGTCCTGGGCCGCAGATGGGGCAGCGGATCCCGGGATTCAAGGTGAGGGGTCAAAAAACCGGCGGCCGCGCGGGGGGTGGAGGGGTCCGAAAAAACGAGCACATATAGACGATTGGCGGGCAATGGAGCCGCCGATCGTCTATATGTGAAACACCCGGTGACGGGTGTTTGTATTGGTCGGGTCTTTTCAGCCCGTGTGTGCCCGCTAGGGGGCGCGCGCGAGCAGAAAAAAAATGCCGTCTGGAGACGGCAACCTGCCAATGCTGCAGTGCCGTCCGTCCGTTTTTTTACTACGGGCGGACGGCAAGAGGTTAATGCAAGATTTGTGCAACAGGTCTAAATCAACCCAGCCGCATTTAAGACTTTTGTGTCTTTCATTCATCCCCATTAAGGGGCTTTTTCATAATTTGGGTTACATTTTACTTTAAATATTTGAAGCATGACAAAGGACTATGGGTAATCTGACGAGACAGCACAACGGAAAGTGTCTACTTTAATGCTTTGTCTGATTAAAACCTCAAATAGAGCTACCCATCCAATAAGGCGGCCTTCTAAATTAGTTATCTGCGTATACATGTCATCTTGAACTTTTTGGTTCTAAAAAGATCACTTTTTTTTAACAAAGGGATAAGGATACTAAGCACAACATGTAAAAGCAGCCTAAAGCTCCACCTGCTGGCTCAAAAAGAGAATACAGAATATTAATATGCAATATTTCCTGACTCTTTCTGATATTTACCTACCTAAAAGAATAAAGAAAGACAATATGTACAAAACCACTGCACATTCCCATCGAGAAGGATGAATTCAGGACTATATAGAGCAGTGGCACCCGGGTGACACTAAAATGACTGATAGTCATTTTGGTGTCACCCCCTCTAAAAAGTCAGGCACTCGGCCATGGACCGAGAGCTCGAGAGTGGCAGGAGAGAGGAGGGGACCCGGCGGCATACCTCATGCTGCCAGGTGAATGTCCCCTCCTCTCTCTGCCGGCGTCCACCACCAAGATGGCCACCGGCAGGTGTCAATTAGATGACCGTGTGTGGTGACGTCACGCGCATGCGTGATGACGTCACTGCGTGGTGTCACCCGGTCTCCGCTTCGGGTGACACCCGGCCTTGGGATGCCCCTGATGTACAGTATGCTCAAGGAAATCCCCCCAAGGTGAGCTCCCTATAAAGAGTGCCTAGCACAGCCCACCAGGTGTACCCACCAGGGGTAAATAAAGATGGCAGGTTATCATATATACATCTCTTACCGATCCAGCCACTAATCCGCCGACACTATAACTTTTCACAGCAGCCACAATGGAGCCAATGAGCAGAAGAATGGTGCAGATGGCATAGTGTAACAGCTCCTTAAAGAAAAGAAATTGTCATTTAATGAACCTGAGCATCTCTTATACTTATCTGAACCGACTGATTTCTCATTAAAGCATATGTCAGGGCAAAATATAGAAAAAACATATTTAGTACATCTCGGCAATAAACGTACATTTCCCCATGTTTCATAACATATAAAGACCCTGCGAGCACAAAACATTCCTGCTGATCTGACAAAAATGCACTCAACTCCTAATTTTCTCTTGTAGGCTGACAACACGCTGAGGACTGAAATCACAAGAAATAGTGTCAGCCCTGCCAAGTTGACTTTTGCTAAACTGCTGAATCTCTCCCTATCGCCTCATCTCCACAACATGGAAAGTAATTGATCTGTAGTCCAAGATAAGATCTCAGTGGGCTAAAAAGGACTTTTGTAAATCATATAGGAAGCTCCGCGAGACACTGGACAGAGATGACATGATGAACAGGTAATTTTCTACACTTATCAAACAAATATAGAAAAACACTTTTAATTATCTATTTAATAAAGCAAAGGGCAACAAATAAGAAATGTTCATCTACATACACTTACCAGAGATCATGAACTGCAGTCTCTCTACCCATCCCTTGGACTTCAGAAGAGATGCCAACAGACTCACTCACTGATTTGCTTCTTGTATGTCTCAATGATAGGCAGTGTCTCGTGGACTCTTCCTATATGATTTTAAAAAGTCTTTTTAGCCCGCTGAGTTCTTCCCTTGGACTACAGATCAATTACTTTCTATGTTGTGGAGATGAGGCGATAAGGAGGGAGTCAACTTGACAGACTCACTCACTGATTTGCTTCTTGTATTTCTCAATAATAGGGGCAGCTATGTCTCTGCACCCGATGAGTTCCCAGTTCCACCCAAAAGCCTAAGGCTGGGCACACACCTTACAACCATCGCAAGATTTATGTCTTGCGATGGTTGTAAGGTACACGTACCATCTGCCTATCTTGGACAGGCAGATCGTACTTGCGATGATCGCAAGCCACGCCCCCTGAGGGGCGGGCTTCCGATGACCGCAATGCCGAACGGGCAGTGTGCGCTTGCGCACACCGGCCCGTCCGGCTTTTATCGTACGGACATGCCACAAACCTGCCGAACATCGCACGATGCTCGGCGGGTTTTCGAACATGTCCGTAAGTTTAAAGTCGTGCGACCTTACAGTAGTAGAGGTCGCACGGCTTCCACACACCTTACGATAATCGTACGATCACGGGATTTCCCGCGATTATCGTACGATTATCGTAAGGTGTGTGGGGACCTTAAGCCACTAGGAGGGGCTATCTCCCTACTGAACTTTCATGTATTCATTAAATAAGGTGAATGCATTAGAAGGATTATGATTTCTCATACTACCCCAGTAAACATTAGTTGTGGTGATGTTGATAAGGTCAGAGCTGGAAACTCCACCTTGAGCACCTTATTACTTAAAGTGATATTAAAGTCGAAAGCTCCTTCAGCTATTTCAAATGCTGATGAAATCACTTACAATGGATGCTGCGCCTTCATGTTTAAAAGTGTTAGCTCCCTGCAGAATCAGCTGCTTCCCTGAGCACTGGCCCTGATATCCTGTTTTAGGGAGGCTCCTTTCCCTTGCAGGGTCCTATGGAACCATGCTTGTGTGTACTAGTAAGCTGTGTGTGTCCACAAAACACACAGACACAGTCCCTTCTCCAAGCTAGTAGACAGACCCTTGCTGAAGAATGCGCTGTCCCTTGTGATCTTGAATTAGACAGGATGTTCAGGGAAGCTGAACTGAGAGAGTTGGAGCCAAATGTTTGGAAACATGATGACTGTAAGCCCCCATTCCCATCTAGGCGTTTTTGTCACGCACAAATACGTGCAACAAAACGCTCAGCACATGAATTCCCATTAATTTTATTGGCCCCCATCAAAACCTAGGGGTTTTGTCACAAACTGCAAAACGCCTGTCGCTGGAAAAAGTTCCTGAGCTTCTTTGGGGAGTTTTGCAGCACGTTTGGCCCCATAGACTTCAATGGAAAAGCCGGCAAAAAAGTGCCACGCCAGCATTTTGCACGTTTCTCCATTGACCACAATGTCTTTCATAGATGCGCGTCTGTGTGTGTGCGCGTCTAATGCAAAACCCAGCAAAATACACTAGGCAAAAACGTGTACAAAAACACTAACGCCTAGTTGTGAACGCAGTTTGGGCAAAACTGTAAAGAAATAATTTGCTGGGCAATGTATATTTGTTTGGTCTGGATTCATTACTGAAACAAAGTTTGAGGGTTCGTTCACACCATAGGCAGTGCGTTCCGGTCAGAACCCGGAACGGAATGCACTGCCCGCATTGCGGCCGGACTCACATTTGTGATCGCACCGGAACGCACGGCAGGCACAATGTGCCTTGCGATCCCGTGCAGGTGATCGCATTGCGGCCGCAGGGCGTGGTTACGGTGCCAATCACTTCAATGGCCCGCCACGCCCCCTCCAGCCCGGCAAAAAAGTGAGCCGGCCCCAATGCGGGCAGTGCGTTCCGGTCCGGATTCTGACCGGAACGCACTGCCTATGGTGTGAACGAACCCTGAGAGTTTATTATGACTTTAGAGTCCTCAAGAGATATACGGAACCGCTGATTCACTCACTCTACCGCTGCTCCATTCGGAACATAATTATGAGTGTTAGGTGGAACAACCCTTTAGACCCCGTTCACATGTAGCGACATACCTTTGCAGCGGCCGGGATAGCGCGACCTTCTCCGTCGGGCTCCATAGAAAAAAAGCAAAATCGCACAAAATCCGCCGAAAAAAGGGTCCGGTAGAAACGACTTGCGACGCGCGACATGGAGTTAAGACAGCTTCATTGAATAGCATTGGCCGGCGACTTCTTGCGATATCGTGCGGCAAAAATGCGTGAAATCGCGCGATAAGTCACTACATGTGAACGGGGCCTTACTTTAATTATTGCTAAATAATTGCCTCGACCTCCGGATGTTTGCCTTGAAAGAAATTCTTTACAGATATATTTGTACGTACCGTCAATGGCCATGACACACAAGTCAGCATCCTGTATATCCGGAACAGGGACACAGCATACAAGATAAGTATTAATATCATGAAGCATATTGTAATGACTTCAAAATAGCGATATGCACTGTAGTCTGTCCAGACCGAGCTTCTCACACACAGGAAAGCGATCAGCAAGCACACCTGGAAGGAAAGAGACAATCCACCATTAGACAAACATCTTACAACACATAATAGGTTATATAATGATAACATCAGTAGTCACCCTATGAATATACAATACACACATGGGGAGACTGTAGATTTTAAGGATATGTGATAATAAATTCTCCATAATAAATAAAATAGCTTTGCCACATATGGGTGATATTATTGTCAATATCATTTTACAGGACCGGGGTAAAGAGGACCTCAAAAGACTAGGTGCACGTATCTCTGCACAAAATATTTGTTTTTTGTACTTTGTTTCTCTCAACATACAAAATGCACCCATGACAATTGTGTGACAGGGTATTATGGGTTTTACAATAGCGAGCAAAGAAGAAGCCGATTGCCTTCTTACTCTCACTCAGATTAAAACTCCATATGGCCCCATCTGAAGACAGCAGGCAGGGAGGGGAAGGAATCATTCATCTGGCTGTGTACATTTCAGATTACGCTACTGACCTCAGTAAACAAAAGGGTTCTTTTTCAGCAAAGCAGTTAATGGCATATAGGTGAAGCTTAGAGTCGGCTTGCTAGCTTCCAATATTTCATATTCACCAAACTAAAAGACAGAAAAATATTTCTAAAATGTTTTTATTCCCAAGCACAAATGAAGAAACTGTACACAAAAATGCTAGTCCTTCCCTATACATGAAATGCTGTATTCTAGATTTTTTTTGGACAAATAGCAAAACATTTTACAAATCCCGTAAAGTTCTGAAGTGCAGGTGGTCAGCAGTATCTTGTGCAGGGATGAGGTTTAGCAAATTTGCAGCAGATACACTTTTACATAGACAACACTGTGCTGGGAATATGTCCTGTCAGAGTGTTGTCCTTGGAAGACAAAAACGTCCTATGTTCTCGTAAGCCTTGTCTGTAGATATATAGCTCATGGTACATGTAGTTCTGTCAGTGCCCTGTATCATTAGAAAATGAAGTAGGGAGCCCTGGTTGGTAGATGATTTTTACAGCATAGTCTAACAAGGGCTAAGAAGTGGAATTCCTCAGCACAGACAAAAGGTAAGTAGAACAAATACAGAAAGTCACCACATGGGGAGAGGGAGGTAGCACACGTGTCAAACACAAGGCCCGCGGACCGAATCTGGCCCCCCAGGCTATTTCATGTGGCCCTCACACCTCTCTAGCAGTTGTGCCACCCCCCTCGTCTCCAACTCCACCTTGTCTCAGCAGTCGGCAACAAGGATAGAACACTTTGGATATACTAACTAGGGACACACCGATACCGAGTACTCGTGAAATTGTCCCGATACTAAATGCCGATACCGGTGCTTTAAAATTTGAAACTGAAGCCAGTGCTGTGAACAGGTGTCAGGCTTCAGATGAGGTCCCAAGCAAGGTCCAGGTAGCCTTCCTGTGAATTATGGCGCCTGTTTACACTGCCGGCTGCACATTTCCTCCTTCCTGTGGATCCATGCCGCCTGCACCCACCGAGAACAACCAAGAGCCCTGGTGAGACTGCACAGCCCTCCTAAGACCCTGCACAGCCACCTGAGAGTCTGACAGCTCACCACAGAACCTGCACAACCCACCATAGAACCTGCACAGCCACCTGAGAGCCCGCACAGCCCACCATAGAACCTGCACCGCCACCTGAGATTCTGCATGACCCACCATAGAATGCCTGCACAGCACAGCATAGACCCCGCACAGCCCACCTGAGCGTCCGCACAGCCCAGCGCAGTCCACACACAGCCCACCTGAGAGTCCGCACAGCCCAGCATAAACCCCACACAGCCACCTAAGAGTCCACACAGCCCAGCCATAGAACCTGCACAGTTGTCTGAGAGCCCACACAGCCCACCATAGAACCTGCACAGCCACCTGAGCATACGCACAGCCCAGCGTAGACCCCGCACAGCCCACCTAAGAGTCCGCACAGCATAGACCCCACACAGCCCACCTGAGAATCAGCACAGCCCGCCATAGAACCTGCACAGCTGCCTGAAAGCCCACACAGCCCACCATAGAACCTGCACAGCCACCTGAGCATACGCACAGCCCAGCGTAGACCCCGCACAGCCCACCTAAGAGTCCGCACAGCATAGACCCCACACAGCCCACCTGAGAATCAGCACAGCCCGCCATAGAACCTGCACAGCTGCCTGAAAGCCCACACAGCCCACCATAGAACCTGCACAGCCACCTGAGTCTGCACAGCACACCATAGATCCTGCACAGCCACCTAAGAGTCTATTACACTAATTGTTATTATTTTTCCTAGACTTCTACTTTCAGAGCTAGTTATTAAGTTATTACTAAAATCAGTAATAAATCGAATGCAGAAGCAATTATTTCATTTGATGAAGAGTAGATAGATTTATTTAGTCTTACAGATACAACTGGCCCTTTGAGGGCAACCATAATGCTGATACGTCCCGCAATAAAATTGAGTTTGACACCCCTGTACCAGCAGGATCAACAGGTAATGAAACTGTTACGGGGGACTCAGAAAAGAGTTATTGCTTGTGACAGGCTGCATCATATATGTACATTTTATTTGGTTTATAATTACACTTTAAGTGGAATAAATCGGAAAGTAGGCGGTCCTTTGCCAATCAGCTATTCTCTTTCCAGTTAGGTTTGTCTATTACCCTCTATTTCAGCAGATGATTGACAGGAGCTACAAGTGGAGGTATAACACTCTATGGAAAAAGTGGACGCTCCCAATGACAGTTTTTTAAAAACTTAAAACAAAATACAATATAGCAGTAAATGAATGTATAAATGTGTCCCTGCAGGAGGAAGTGAACAAACAATTACAGTAAAACAAATCTTAAAGAAGTCAGAAATGCAACCACAACCTTTTTCACAATCTGATCATTATGGGAGGGAGGGTTGAAAAAAACAAAAAAAACAACAACTTTGTTATTCATTAGAAAAATATATAACTTTAATGACTCGTACATATGTGGTTTGAACAAATCATCTTGTGCTTCCTGTGCACGGTATCCTCCCATGTAGAAGTAACAATTTCCAGTAATGTCTGGCACACATTTTGTCACAGTAACAGCTGGGTGAAAGCTTTTTGAACGACTATTTTAAAACAGAGTGGAATAACCTAAAGGCGCTGACCTCGAAAAGTCTACCTAAAGACTCTGGCTAGACAATGCTGTATGAACAAGGACCACTTCTACATGCCACACTAAATTGTGGAGGTCCAATCATCTTTCTGATATGTTATATATTGAATTATTTTTAGATGCAGAAAATATAGCCATACTTACATGATTTATCATATCCATACCTTTCATGTTATCTGCACAAAGGACAAATTGCATTTCACCTACAAGTGGCCCCTTAGAAGTGATATGGGATGCAGATAAGTCTGCTTTATTCTCAGTAAAATGGAATGTGGGAGTGCTGCTGGAAATGAAGTCATGCAGAGATCCTATAACCTCATGGGCCCTGTCACAGTTGCAGTCCCGGAAACATACCGGGAAACTTGCCGGCTTTCACCCACAGCTGATGGCTTTTCAATTCGGTTACTCCTGGTGTTGTGCTCGGTTCTCCAGATTTCTAATGATTGACTGTAGTGTCCTGTCAGGCAGAGTTGGGGCTGTGATAGCTAATGGAGGGAGGGCACTGCTCTCTTCTCCCTTCAATGGCAGCCTACTGTGGGCAGAAGAGAGCAGGCAGAGGGGGTTTCTGCTGAGGACAGACAGTGAGGGCGGACTGTCCGGCTGGGTTCACACCTGGGCGTTCGTAATATGCTCGTTTTTGCCAGCGCGTTTTTAGCGCGATATTCTGTCCACGAAAACGCGCGTTTGACGCACCTTTACGAAATCTCTATTTAGAAGTCCAATGGATATGCGCTGAAATCTGCCCCAAAGAAGCTCAAGTATTATTTTGCATGTAGGGCGTTTTTCAGCGCGACAAAACGCGCTGAAATACGCCCAGGTGGGAACCATGCCCATAGCAATTAATAGGATTTCACTTCTAGAGTGTTTTTCTGCGCTTCGATCAGCGCTGAAAAACGCCCAGGTGTGAACCCAGCCTCCATCTTCCTGTCTTCCCTTGACATATGACATATCACATGACCAGAGACAAGAAGAAGGAGAAGCTGCCTGCATTTCTGGGTGGACACCACACTAGAAAGTTTGTCGGAACTGTGAGTACACAGGGGGTAGGGGAAGAAATTCAGCCCCAGAGCTCACCCTCGAACCAAAAAAAAAACACTTTAGCCGCTACACCTCCCTCCCTCCGCTGGAGTAACACAGAGCCCCTTAGGTCAATGCACCACAAAGAGCTCCCAACCCAGCCTTTATATTCCCCTCTTTCATCCCACTGATACAGATGCCAAGGCAGCAACATATTTACCTCACACTGACAAGGAACGCCCACTCCTCCAGACTGAAACCCACCTGTCAAGGCATTTTAATATTAGCAGAACAGCCCTCCGCTGGCATCAAGGCTGAGGGCTCTGGGAGGCATACAGAGACAAATTGCTGTGAAGTTTTCAAGCATCTATGTACAGCACCCTGCCAGCCGCTCCCAACAAACATGATATGCCTGGATAGCATAGAGAAGCACAGAAAGCCAGTAATGATGTCATTCTTTTTCATGGCATTCCAATACACCTTGCCAGGACACATGTGCATTTCAGCCACAGCCATCTGTAAATTGTGGTGCAGTGGAAGGACCTTGCAATCATACACCACAACACAAGTCACACTAGTCAAATGTGAAGGTGGTCTTGGTAAACTTTTTTTTTAAAAGTAGATAGTACCATTTTAAACAGTATGCATGGTAAGGTAACCGATGCATCTGCCCCCCTTAACCTCTTGCCGTCCGCCCGTAGTAAAAAAACGGACGGACGGCACTGCTGCATTTGCGGGTTGCCGTCTCCAGACGGCATTTTTTTCTGTTCGCGCGCGTACCCTAGCGGGCACGCACGGGCAGAAAAGACCCGACCGTTGCACACACTCGTTACCGGGTGTTTCACATGTAGGCGATCAGCG